GGCATTATTCTACACATAGGATGAACTTTTGAATCCCTATAGGATAGGAACTTTGAGCCTTGCTCACTAAGCTAGTGACAATAGGAACAAGTTAGTCTGATTGACAAAAGTTCAAAAATATTAAATCACATATTAGTCACTGGAGGTTACCATACATGAATCCATTGGAGGAGTACAGTTATAAATGCTCTCCAACTTTTTCAAAACTAGAGCATCTAAGGACATGAACTTGTTACTAGAGTCCAACCATCAAACTGATACGCCTTAGGTTTCACAAATTAGGGTTTGCCCTAATTTCTCCTCCAAAATAGAGAAATTTCTCCACCAAAACCAAATGAGAAACAATCACAAAAGGGTTGAGATGAAAAGTGAGAACCTTTGCATTAGAAAGCCAAGAGAAAACAAGATAAGTTTGTCCACTTCGAGAAGGACAAGATCTCCCACAAGAAAACCCTAGAAAAGCACAAGAAGAAGACTAGAGGAAGAAACTAGAAAGAGAATACACTTTTCATAATGCCCCCAACCAAACCCTAATGGCCCCCTTCATACAATCCAACCCCCCCCTTCTTCCGCCTGTAGACCCGCACGGGTGCAGGCGGAACCGGTTCACCCGGTCCATCACAAACCTCAAAATATTATAACAAAATTTCTTTCTAACATTCATGAGATATTTTACTACTATACAACAAATATTGGGGTTCATTTGTTGGCATCAAAAATATCAACACCAATCTAAAATTAAACTTATTCCTAGGAGCTTGGATGCATCAATCTTTTGTTTGGATTCCTAGCCCGCTCCTAAAAATTTTAAGTTGCCTTCCTTCACAATTTTTATAATCTTAAATCATCTTATAGAATCCTTTCTTAGTTCCATAGGCTAGGCATTCTACTCTTAGCCACCCCTCTTTTCAATTGTAAGATAGACTAAGTTAGATAGAAAGAAGCCCAATGCTTCGAATCAAATGCTTCATCTGTCTATCTTGCGCTGCTCTCAATATATCAATGATCAGTTTAATCTTTGTTGTACCATCATCCAGTAAGGCTGCCCTTAACAGTCTTCTTTTCTCTACCTCTGTCCAAGACAAAATGTTCCTACACTTGCAACCATATAAAGCCTCATATGTTGTCATTTTAATTCTAGAAAGCTGTTATTATAAGAAAACTCATTCAAAGGTATATGACTCCTAGCTTCCTCCAAAATAAAGTACACTCATCTAGTATCTGAATAGTCATTTCGAACTAATCATCCATCTGCAGGTGAAAAGTTGTATTGAAGTTTAATCTAATCCTCATATTCTTCTGGAAACCACTCCATAATTTAGAAGTAAATCTACCATCACAATAACATTTAGGATCCCATGAATACCAATCTCATATACATATAGCTATACCAACTTCTCAAATGAATATGTTTGTCATATAAGACAAAAATGTACAGACTTTCTCAATCGATCAACCATGACCCGAACTGCATTATGTCCATACCTAGACCTCGAATCCCAAAGCAAAATCTATCATGATTTCCTTCCACTTCCACTCAGGAATGAGCAAAGGATGCAGTAAACCATTAAGTTGTTGATGTTCTGCTTTGATCATTTGATAAATTTTGCATCTTGAAACAAATTTGATCATCTTTATTTTCAATCCAGACAACCAAAACATCAACTTCAAATCATGATACACCTTGTTATGGATGAATCATATATCCAGAATATTAAACTTTATGTGTAATCTCTCTCCTTAAGTTAGCACCACTAGGAACCCATAATTTGCCTCTACAGGTTAGCAATTCACAATCATACACCTACATCTCAGGTTTGTTTACAAATTGAATATAATCTATCAATCTCACATATTCCTTGTCAGTCGTTTGATCTTCATGAAACTTCTCCAGTCAGGAAGGTTATACAATCATCTGAGTAAACACACTAGCATCTATATTAATTGATCTGACTACTTCCAATTATAACCTCTCCATGTCATGAATAAGTGATGTATCAGATGTAATCATCCAACTAGCCATTCCCGAAGATTTTATACTCAATGCATCTACTCCAATATTAGCCTTAGATGATATTGAATACTAAGGTCGTAATCCTTTATCAATTATAGCCATCTGCTTTGCCTTAAATTCAACTCTTTCTATGTGAAAATATATTTCAAGCTCTAATGATTAGTATAAATCTCACGTATGACTCCAGTTTGACTCAATAAAAATAATATTTTCAATTCTTCAATGCAAAAATAATGGTGGTTAACTCCAAATCATGAATAAGATAATTTTTCTCATGTAACTTTAATTGTCTAGAGGCATGCATAATTACTTTATCATGATGCATCAACACACAGCCTAAATCTTTTAATGAAGCACCACTAAATACCTAAAATCCTTCAGCACCCAACAAATCTTCATTGCAAAAATAATGGCAGTTAACATCAAATCAAGAGTAGGATAATTCTTCTCATGTGGCTTTAATTGTCTACAGGCATATGTAATTATTTTATCATGTTGCATCAACACACAACCTAAACCTTTTAATGATACATCACTAAATATATGAAATCCTTCACTAACCAATAAAAAGTCAAAATCAAGGTTTTAAAAATTTTTTAATGATACATCACTAAATTTGGGCTTTATTGGGCCTCAAATTTGGGCAAGTTGGGCCGCATAATTTAGGCTGGTTTGGCTATGAATTTGGACTGGTTGGGCTATAAAATTTTTAATTTGTATTATAAATTTGTTATAGTGTATATTTTAAGAATTAATAATATAAATTTATATATTATATTAAATATTATTCTTATTATAAAGTTGTTATAATGTATAATATAAGAATCTCATTTATTATCACTATAATTAAATGTAAAAGTTAATTATAGTTAAATTATTAGATATTCATAAATATAATATAATTAAACTATATGTCTAGTAATTTAATTATAGTATATAATTATATTCATTATTTCAATTTAAGTATATTATTTAATAATTTAATCATATTGAGAGATAATCTACAAAAATTACAAAGTTTAAATTCTTAGAATTATGACTTATGAGTTTTAAGGTTAGACTGTCATAATCATTATGTTAATTTTATTCATTTTTAATAATATTATTATTTATTACATCATCTAGTTCGACCTCGGTTCGAACGGTTAAACCATGAATATCTCATTCTTCCGGTTCGTTGTCCGGTCTGGTTTTCACAGCCATGGTTAAAATAGATATTGTCACTAGGCAATTCTTCAATTTCTAAAACTATTTTCACAATCTGCCATCCTCTCAAATGATATTGCTTTCTGTATCAATGTAGTCTAAGGAGTTGGAAATAGGCGAAGTCTTTAACAAATTTCTATAATCAGTCATACCAAGAAAACTGCACACCTCAGATATAAAGTGAATTGGCTTGATGATTCTAACGGTCAAGTGGTTTCAATATGGCTTCAGTTTCTGGTTCCCAATTTTGGTGCTGGTGGAATAGTTTGGTTGACCCTATAGTATTTCTTTGAGTGGAGATTAGGGGATATTTGTGGTCGATGACATGAGGGGATGTTGTCCTGAAAGACTTCATCATGGTGCATCCTTAATCTGGTATTGATTGTACATGTTTGGCTGAGCTTTTTGATTATTTGATTGGAGAAGCAAGTTATTGGCGGAATGGATTGGTTGGTTGCTGAAATGAGAGCTGAAGATCATTGATTGCATCTTGTTTTCCCTTTGGTTTCCAAATCGGATGAATAAGGCTTGATTGATCTTTCTTTGATTCGTTTATTTGGAGATATAAGTGAATTGGTTACAGTATGTGTTTTGGTTTAGCCTTCATTGTTTCACATGGAAGAGGATATAAATGAAGTGGTTGAAAAGCTCATCGGATTTGCAAGGAATTCATATACTGCAGCATGGTTTGAAGTTGAGGATGAATGGTCTAATTTCGATTATTTGTAGCTGGATGGTGTTTTTATAGCGGATTGGAAATTACAAGAGCAGAAAATGGCGTATCAATTGCGTTAAGAATTTTTGGGTGAGGTGAACATTATTGAAGTGTGAATAGATAATGTCAATTTTTTTGGTTGGGTTTGTACATCTCTTGAAACTTGAAAGCTGGAGGTTTAACGCTTTACAGCTTCAAAGAAAGATCCATCCTTTTGTTTATGCAATAAAATTATGTATAACAATACACACAACACATAACATTATTAGGTAAATTTCACTCAATTTGAAGTAATAAGAAGTATTTTGATTAAAATTTATAATAGAAATATTCTTGTTGAAAAAAAAAAGGATAAAAGGAGTGGAGCAAAGTTGACAATGTAGCATGATAGAGAAAGGTCGGGCAGCAGGAGATGGGGTAGCAAGTCTATGAAAAGAGAGGGATTAGAGAAATGAGGTAAGAAAGAGAAAGGAATTAGAGAGGAAGCACTGTAAAATGAATTTTTTTTAAAGAGAGAGAGTGGGTTAGGTTTTTTTTTTTAATAGCACAATTTAGTCCATGCCAGTGAGCACCATCCAAATAGGTATGGCAAAGTCTCTTTGGCCCACATACAATATGCGACAAATAACACTTGACCATGCCTACACAAGCGGTTGAATATTGTGCTACTTTTTTTAAGTGAGGGTAAATTAAGGCTTCGTTTGGGACAGCTTTCTTACTGTTTTCTAAAACATCTTTTTAGTAAAAAACTTCTAGTTCAACAAATTTTTATATTAAAACTGCTAAAAAAACAGTAAGAAAATTGTCCCAAATGAAGCCTAAAGATGTATAAGAGGAGACAAAACATCATCATTTAGCATGCTCATGACTATTTGAGGTCAACTTTATAAATCCTCACTTTCCATTCATACCTAGTAAGCACAACCAATGTTGTTAATCTACTCTTCAGTCTTCTCAAATCATTTTGAAAAAAAAAATAGTACAGCCTTACAATTCTTAAAAATTGGTCAAAGTAACCAAATTACAAGCATATCAGAAAAAAATATGCACACAAACGAAATGAAATTAGCATAAGCACCACTTTGATACTTTTTATAAAATATATGAGCCGAAAAACAATTCCAAAACTTCCAATAATAATAAAAAAAAACTCTGCATTTCTCCAGTGAACTTTGAAAGGGCTACTGATCCTTCATTAACCATGCATAGTACCAACACTTGTTTGCAACATTAGATACAAGGAAACCAAATAACACTTATTTTCATTTTCTTTGCTCATATGATAAACTTTCTTAAAACACCAGAGGAAAATGTAGCCATCCATCAAGCTGCCTGGAATGCCATAAATAAATCTATTAAATATATTTACTTCTTCCAAGCAAGTTTTGAATTTCAACTACAATCAGGCCCCATTTGTTTGCTTAAAGTTAGAGAACACAGCTTTCAAAACGATGAATTTGTAAGATCCCATAATTCGAAACTTATAATGATTTTCATTTTTATGGACACCATTAAAATCTCTCAAACATGGTGATTTTAATTCCATACTCAAAAAGAGTGAAAACGAAATCATAATTTTCTAAAACATGCTTTCTATCACAAACAACCAAATGAGCCCAAAGAGAAAGATTAACCCAAGAGAAATTACAACCACTATGAAAAAAAATGTTCAAAAACATCATTCTAACAAAATAATAAACATTCAAAAGCGATAGATAAGCAGCACCTCAATGTTGCTTCTCCATGCGTGAATTCACCAATCAATGCATTCTCTTATTGCCTCAATCCTGACAATGAAAAAAAACAGAAGAAGGAAAAAAAAATTATTCCCCTAAAGCAACTAGCAGAGTAGCATTCTTCTATACAATGAACCATGCGCAAACTTCAAATGCTAGCTATCGTGCTGAGTTAAAAAAGAGTATGAAATCCATAAAGCATGTCAAGTGAAAAACTGATTTACCAGATTTGATGTAAGTCCATAAGTCGGCGAGTATCTCATATTCCAAGTTTCTGCAGGGGCTAACTGTCAAGGGCTAAATACACTGTGAGAGCGGTAACAAGATGGCCGGAACGGGAAAGGGAAGTGATTTTAGGGTTGTTTGGCTGCTAATTTGGAATGGGAAGTTCGCCTTTCGGGTGGTTTGGCTGCGTAGAATTTAACCCAGGTTGAGATTTAGCTGTAAATTCGAATTTTGTAAATTTTGAGGCAGTTAAAATTTAAAATTTATTTGACATTATAAAATTTAATTTTTAATTTAAGTCTATTAATTTAAATTAAATTTTAAAAAAACCAAAATACTTATTATTTATGAATATTAGCTATTAAAATTAATTTATCTATCTAATGTACATAATAGAATATTACTATTTTTAATTTAAAAATGATTTTCTTTCAATCTTGATCATATTTATTATTGTTAAGGACTAGAATATACGCGGCGGTAGAATAAAAAATATAACATCTTAGCAATGTACGTACATACAGCACACTAATAGATAATTAAAGGATAGAAACACGATAAACTTTTTTACATAGAAAACCCGAAAAGGGAAAAATCATTGGGTCTTGCCTAGGTGAGAAAATTCCACTAAGTCTGGGTTGATTACAAAATTTGATCTGCTCCTTTACTTAGAGATGTCGGAATTACAATAGGTTAATTAAACAGAAATCTGGTGATGATAGATGAACCGGTAGAAATAAGGCAGTGGTTGTGAAGAGCTTCAGCAACGGTCTAGAAGAAAACTCTGGCAGTGATCGGGAGGAACTCCAGCGATGATCGGCAAGAACTCCGGATGTTGTCGGCAAGAACTCCGGCTATGGTCGGCAAGAACTCTGACTGCGGTTAGGAGGAACTCTGGTGGTGGTTGACAAAAACTCTGGCGGTGGTCAGGAGGAACCCCCGCAGTGGTCGGCAAGAACTTCAACTGCGATTGGGAGGAACTCCGACGATGGTAGGCAAGAACTTCGGCGGTGGACGGTGGCAAGAGAGCTCCCAAACTCCTCACTTCCTTTTATTCCCCCCCCCTATGGATGTCAATATTAGACACGACACGAAAACCCGACCCGGAAATTCCGGGTTCAGGTCGACCCGGTTAGAAAACGGGTTGGGTTCGGGGATCAAATATTTGACCCGATTTGAGTTTCAGGTCGTGTTCGGGTTAACCAAAAAAACATGATTTTGATCCATTTTTAACCTGATTTCCCATTAATATTACGGAATGCAGGGGCAGGCCCGGCTTTCGAGTTTCGACTTCGACTCTTGTTCTCTGTTTCGCTCCGTGCCCTCGCCCTAGTTCTATGACTTATGTCTGCATTCTTCGTGATTGAGCATTGTTTGTAGACTTATAGGCTCGATTTCTTCGATCGTGGGTGCAAAATTCAAATCTCCATCTCTCCCTTGTTAGTTAGGTTTTTCCTTGCAAGCTTTCGACGTGTATCGAGAGTCGAGACCCCGGTAAATTGTAAACCTTTTGCTGCTTTGCATTTGGAGATAATGTGATGATTACTTTGCAAGATTTTTAGTCTTTAACTCTTTATTATGAGTTTTCACAATTTTTTTCATATTTGAGCTTCTCAAATGGAAACCCTAGAGGTGTAGACGTTGTGTGCAGCGTACGCGATTAACAAAATATAGAGGAGATGATTTATCACTATATATCATTTATTCTTTACTAATTTTTATTCACATATGATTACATGATTTACATCTAATTATGATCTGAAGGCAAAATCCCTTTGCTTTATCTTCGTCATCTTTCGTTCGTCGTTACTCGTTATGCCAATTTTTTCTGCTTGCTGGAGACATTGTTTGCTATATGTTATGGAAATCAGGAAATGTTATCTTCTATTTTATGGGGTTATTAGTGCTTCTCCATTTGTTCTGCTTGCTAGAGCCATTGTGTGCTATATGCCTATATGTTATGGAAAATTGCCAATGTTGTCTTCTATTTTCCATTTTCTGGAATCTGGAGTAGTTGTGTGCTATATGTGGTAATTTTAACTTCTAAGTTGAAGATCTCTGAGTTGGTTTTTGCTCTTATGGGATTTAATGATCCTCTGTCCTGTCCATTTCATTAAAAAGGGTGCATTTTTTAGAGTTATTATGATATTGTGTACTTCTATTTTCTATCTATTTTACTAATTCATCTTCTTGATGAATTTACAATAACCTTAATAAATGTTGAACTCATCCTTCTATTTGTTAGATGGAGGATTCTAACACAGTTGTTAGAAGTACTCCTTTCAATAAGAATGTTCAAGTAGCCAATGCTTCTAGTCCAAATGACATAGAAAATGATGATGATGATTTCTGTAATATTGATGGAAAAGATTTAGATAGCCCATATACTGTGAAGAAAAGAACAAGAATGAGTTCAACAGTTTGGGTTTATTATGAGATGTTACCCCTTCCTAGTGATGGCAATCAGAGATGTAAATGTAGGAAATGTGGGGCAATATATAAGTGTGATAGCAAGTTCGACACTGGAAATTTAAGACATCATTTACAAAATGGTAAAAAAAGAGGTAACCGTGACATTGGGCAGCTTATTTTGCAGTCAAATGCCAGCTCGTCCATCAGCATGTCTGAATCTAAGTTTGACATACATGAGTTTCGTGAGTTATTCACTGCCTGCATAATTATGCATGATCTTCCATTTTAATGTGTTGAATGGGGTGGTCTTCATGCATTATTACATTACCTCCATCGTGATCTACAATTAGTTTCTAGAAACACTGCTAGAAGTAACTGCAAGAAGTTGTTAACAACATGGAAAGTTATTATTCAAAAGGAGATTTTAAAATGTACCAATAGAGTTTCATTGACATCTGACTTATGGACATCAATTAACACTGATGGCTTCATTTGCTTGACTACCCATTTCATTGATAACAATTGGGTGTTGGAGAAAAAAAATAATTAATTTTGGTTTCATGCCACCACCGCATGATGGAATTGCTTTGTGTGAAAAACTCCATTCTTTTTTCACTGAATGAAAAATTCAAAATAGAGTTTTTAGTATTACTCTAGACAATGCTTCATTTAACAATGTTTATGTTCAATTCTTAAGAAATCAATTAAACTTGTGTGGTGGATTGTTATGTAAGGGTGAATTTTTTCATATAAGATGTTGTGCTCATATTGTGAATCTTATTGTGCAAGAGGGAATGAAGAAGGTTGATGTGTCTATTGATAATGTAAGAGAAAGTATCAAATATGTGAAAGGTTCACCAGTAAGAAAGCAAAAACTTTTAGAATGTGTCAAGCAAAGCTATCTTGACTCTAAAAAAGGATTACGACAAGATATTCCTACAAGGTGGAACTTGACATTCATCATGTTAGATTTTGTTATTTACTATAGACGTGCTTTCTAGCATTTGGAACTACTAGATTCTAATTTTAAAACTTCCCCCAATAACACTGAATGGGAGAGATTGGAGAGCATTTGCAAGTTCCTAGCTCCTTTTTATGAGATTACTTGTGCTTTTTCTGGAACAAAATATCCCACATCAAATCTCTTATTCCCTTGTGTTTCTACGGCTTATGTTGCACTTAAGCATGAAACTTCTTATGGTTGATTGCATCAAAAATATTGCTGTAAAGATGTTAGTCAAATTTGAGAATTATTGGTTTGATTTCAGTGATATATTGGCAATAGCAATTATCTTGGATCCCAAGTACAAGTTTACATTTGTTGAGTGGTGTTATAGAAAGTTATATGGAGGTGACTACATTATTGAGACCAAAAAGGTTAAGGAGAAACTATTTGCTTTATTTGCGAACTATGAAAAAGTTGAACGACATACGTCTAATGGTCAGTTGTCAGTAGGCTCAGATAGTTCTAAAGTTGAAAGCTCAATGATTGTTCCTCCAATAATTATAAAATCACAGTTTCTTCAGGTATGCTTCATTTTCATTCATTTAATCTATGAGATTATGACTGCATTAATATTATCTATTCACTAACTTCAACATTGTATGCTTAAATTTATAATTAGGATTACGACTCATTTGAAGAGGAAATTACACTGCCTAAGAAGTCACAACTTGAAATGTATCTTGAAGAACAACAAAATTGATAGGAAGGTTAAGTTAGACATATTACATTTTTGGAAAGGTAATCAATACAGGAATCCTTAAGTGGCTGCTATGGCACGCGATGTTTTATGCATTCCCATTTCCACAGTAGCTTCAAAAAGTGCATTCAGTAACAGTAGAAGAGTACTGGATCAATATAGAAATGCTTTAAAACATGCCATTGTTGAAGCTTTGGTTTGCAATAAAGATTGGTTATATGGAAGCTAATGGTAATAGTTCATTTATTTGAGATTTTTTATGAACATGATTTCGCTCATAACTTTATAGTAATACATATTTTCTTTGTAGCTGTGAATGATACAAAACTTGATAGTATAACTGAGGACATCATGAACTTAAATGTGGAAGACATTGGCAGCGAAGACGACAATGGTTCAGTTAAAAGAGTACCCTAAGTTATCCTGTTGGGAAAGAAGTTCTAACTTCTAAAAACTACATGCTTTAATATTTATATGTTTTTTCTTTGAACCCACGTTTTGTCTTGTTAGTGGCTTGCTGTTTCAGATTTCAGAACACTGAGCACCTGCTTTCAGCCTTTAATATTTATGTTGTAATGTTTTATGTTGGGAAAGAAGTTCTAACTTCTAAGAACTACCTGCTTTCAGCTGGTTTTGCCTGTTGGAGGCTAGAGGCTGGACCGAAGCATATATGTTGGTATTCAGTATATGTTTATATATTTTATGTTGTTCTAAATTAACCTGTTGTTGGTGTCTGTTTTATGGTTTTCCTGCTGGACCTATATGGTTATATTCATTGGATTGAATATTTTCTAGCTGAATCAAAGAATCTGAACTTCTAATGCTTAATTAATTCATATGCTTGATGAATAATGAGTTAAGGTAAAGTGTGTAGTTATGAAAGTTCAAGCAATGATGAAAAATCTTGTCAACCGAAAGTGAGAGATGTCGCCATTGGGCGTTGGGGAAAATACTATTCACTATTGCAACCAGGTGACATTTATAAGATACTTCATCCAGTTAAATGCACAGCCTTGGATGGTAATAGAGAATTAGAAAAATTAAATATACATCATTCACTTACTTCAT